GATAGAGACCCCTAAATGACGATTTTAAAAGTTGGTTCCCCAAAATAGGAATCAAGTGAAAGTTGGTTCCATTTTGGTGTAATTTTCCCATTTTTCTATAATTATTTTGCAAGTTGGTTTCCCAAAATAGGAATTAGGTGCAAGTTGGTTCCCCAAAATGACAATTTTGAAAGTTGGTTCCCCAAAATAGGAATCAGGTGAAAGTTCGTTCCCCAAAATAATGATTTTGAAAGTTCGTTCCCCAAAATAAGAATCATGTGAAAGTTGGTTCCATTTTGATGTAATTTTCCCGACATACTAATATATTTCTTATTTATGGAAGCAACATCAATCTTACATAGAGTAGTTTATTACATACACACACACATATACATATATATATATATATATATGTATATATATAAAACAGATAAAGTAACTGTCATATGCCGGTTAAGTTGGCGGTTCAGAAAGCACTCCTTAGATGACACCGATTCAAGTATGTAAAAGGTTTAGCTTAATATTTTAACATCGACGAGCTACTCACTTTCTCAGGCCGCCAGCTGGCATTCCCCGTCCTTGTTCTTACGGTAACCAATTTGAAGCCAATTTAATACGTTTAAGTTCTTCTATGATAGTCGTTAAACCATTAAAAGAAGAACCACCTGGTTTAACAACTTGTTTGGCTATTATGGATATCACTTCTGACCTGCTTTTGATGCTTTCAGCCATGGCCGATCCACCTGTTAGTATCCCAATAGCCTCTATTATACTCCCTTTTCCCACGATTGGGCTACTGATCATTACACTCGAGTTCCAAACTTCTGCTCCCACACCCACTCCAATCCCTAAAAGCTCCACCAGCTTCTCGTTGAAAAACTGATCGGAGTACAATGGCCAGGTGATCAACGGTACACCGGCGACTATTGCTTCAAGCACGGAATTCCAACCGCAGTGAGTCAAGAACCCTCCTATGGCCGGATGTTGTAGGATTTCCACCTGYGGTGCCCATCCGGTCAAGATTAAACCCTTGTTTTCCTTCTCGATCCTCGCCTGAAAACCTTCCGGCATCCCACCGATTCCTTCCTCTCCTCCCTTCTTYCTCACCACCCAAACAAACGGTTGTTTAGATTCTTCCAACGCCAATGCAATTTCGGTGATCTGATCATCTGGGAATCTCACCATGCTACCGAAACAAACGTATATCACTGATTTGGGTTTTTGATTGTCAAGCCAACTCAGAGAAGTGTGCTTTTCCGATACACCGCCGCTGTGGTAATCGTCCTTGAAAAATTGAAAAAGAGGACCAATAGGCCAGATTTTGGTACCTTTAAACGTATTGTTGTGAGCCACATATGCTGGTTCAATCTCGTAAAATGTGTTGTGAACCAATCCGTAACTTCGCTTCACTGATCGTTCAATCTCTTCCATTGTCTCACCCCATCTGGTCTTGACTTTGAGATGCTCCGGGACCTGGCACCTCTTCATCGTGATTTTATCTGGTAAATCAGGAACCACGAAACTCTCGGACTCTGATTTCACCTTATCATGAGGAGCATGAACTTTCAAGCTATGGAGAACGGATTGATAAAGGAAATTAGATGGGTAAAAATTCAGTCTCGGRATTTTGAGTTCRTCGGCGAGGTCAACTRTCCACGGGAAGAACATGTCGGAGAAGATGCAATCAGGAGCAAGTTCACGAATCAGCTGTTCCATTGGTGTCTGGAGTAGCATCGTCCCACGGAAGACTGCGCTTAGTTCTTCTGTACTAGTGGCAGTGCCTAAATTTTCTACTCCGATGGGCAGTCCGACCTCTGATGCCGGAAAGTTTATGGTGCGGACATGGACAGGGTAACCGGCGGCGATGTCAAGGTCAATAGAGGGTCGAAATGTGAGGGCATTGTGGACGGTGGCGATGATGGTGGAGCGAACTCCACGGGAGGCAAAGAGCCTGGCGATTTGGACTAGAGGGATCATGTGGCCAGGAGCTAAAAAAGGGAGGAAGACGACATGAAGGTTGTTGTGGCCGGTATCCATGGCGAATGTATGTATGTTTTATCTCCGATGACCTTTGATCCTTCCCAATTCCCTCAGATTCTTGTTTGGTATTGTACGAGGAAAGTAGACGGCATAACATGTCCTTTTATAAGGAAAGTAGATCCAGAAACATAAAAAGGATAATCAAAATCACATCTAAAAAATTAGAGAATTTATTAAATCAAATCAAAAATCTAAAAAGTTGTTTGTAACGATAGAATTTGAGTATAAAATGTCGAAGATAAGTGTGTGTTTTGTATATTGGACAGAGACAGAAAAGAACAGAGATTCATGTCCTATGTTTTGCATAAATTTTATGTGGAACAAACATGAACAGAGTGTAACAAAGTGAAACATGTCTGTTCCACCCTACCCCATGGAACATGGTGGAACAAGGTGGAACAGACTTATATTTTACAAATATAACCTCAAAATAAAACTTAATTCTCTTCTAAAATATCAAATAGGTCTCTTTTTTACAGAGTAATAAATATTCGATTTTAATCTTACAGGAATGATTGTACATGTGATAAGTGAATTCTTTTGTTTTCTGGAATCCAAGTTTTGTGAACGTGATGATACTATATGGGATCACTAGCTAAATTGTTTTCTTGATGCTTATATTTTATTTGCTATTTGATATTTAATCCATTTTAATTGATTGTGCACTTGTTGATAATAGTTTTTTCTTCTTAGTATGGAATGCATATAGATTTGCTTTGATAATGGATTCTTGATGCTTATATTATATTTACCTTTTTCATATATCATTAGTTGATTATGAAATCATGTATTTTTGCAAATATATTTTTGCAAATGTATTTTTGCAAATGTATTTTTGCAAGTAGTAGTGGTTTGATGTAAGTTATACTTTGCACACTATATTTGTTAACATTTATATTAATTATTTAGTGAAAAAAACACTAAACAGCTCACTGGGGGTAAATTGGTCATTTTAACCAGTTTTGTCCAGTTCTATAATGTCTTACCAAACGTTGATCAGCTGTCATGTCCTGTCTGCGTACCAAACGCATCCTAAATGACGATTACATTTTCTAAATCAACACAATTAACCTTTTATTTGGTCAAATCATGACGACTTTCCTCAGCATCTATGGCGATTTTATGACTCTTTAATCGACCTTAGATTTGCACCCGCTCAATACAAATAGTTTCTTTAAATATCTAATTAATTAAAATAACTAATTAATCACAAAAACAAGCTTTCTAAAATAATTATGATGAAACTTTAATACAAATACATATATGTAATATAATAGTATATATATATAATATAAATGAAGATAATAAATTAAAACCAAAATGCTTTTGTTAAGAAACCAGTAGGGTTATGGTTTTATTTATAAATTGTGCGTGGCATAATTGGCAGGAGAGGTGTAAAATGGATAAAGATAACATAATCTGGAGATGTGTAAATGATTGTGAGTGACATAATCGAAAAGAGAAGTGTAAAATGGATGAGGGTGACATAATCTGGAGATGGTTGTCACGGTTAAAATATTTATTTAAATTTTCTACAAGCGTTTTGTCATGGTTGTTTCAACTGACACTGTTGTCGATCGTTCTTCTTCTTCTTCTTCTATGTCAGACGCAACCACCGTCTTCGTCCTTATTGCCATAACATCTGTATCCATATTCGTTTTTTGCTTTTCTTTTCTAATTCCTGCTTACAATGGTTCCATTTGTCGTAATGTTAATACTATTACAAACAAAGTTAGGTGGATTATCTCTCCTTCCGTTTTGATTGTCCAAACCTGTGATGATATACTAATATTATCACATGTGATAATAGATCAAGGTTTATATAATCTCACATGTGATAATTGATCAATGTATATATACATATATATATATATATATATATATTATCACATATGATAATAGAATTATACATGTATTGTATAATTTGTGATATGTTTTTTAGATTCATATTTATATATTATAACTTGTTATCAGTAGACATGACGGATGTATGTTGTAACTCGAACGACATCTGTCCCGTCCCTTCAAATATTTTGGATTACACTTTTTTTTAACTATTTGTTTTAAATTATATAATTAATTTGTGAATTATTGTGAATAAATGGCCAATTATATCATAGTTTAATCTAAATATCACTACTTTCGCGATAAATATTGTGGACCTAGCTGTCGTAATTGTGGACCTGACCGTCACAATTGTATATTTGTGTTAAATTTGAATTTTTTTTGGCCTTTAGCTAGGTGAGTAATATTGCGGACCTGAATATTTGTGAAAATAGTAACATTTGAGTTAACCCGAAAGAGAAACGATTAGAAGACTAATTTGGATGCATGAAATAGTTATTGAGTCAAGAACCCTTTTTTCCTTTGCTCATAATACGTAGTTTGTTTTATAATTAAACGTATATGTAGAAGTCTTCTTTTTTGAGAATTCTTAATCTAGGGTTGTGATCAATTTTCTTATAAATACTATTATAATGAACACACTCTGAATCTAGGGTTGTCTACATATTTTATTTAGTATCATATGTGATAAAATATAGTATCAACTATGATTGATTATTACAGTAAAGGAATATTCTCACGTCATCGTAAAATAAAGGTGTCATCGTTTCAACTTTTTCATATATAAGAAGAGAAGTTATGGTGAAAAATATGAGAAGAGATATCTACACATAGGTCAATCCTAATTGAATGTCAACACTAATAAAATTCACCGGGCTACACCACATCAATTCCAATATAAAGCACAATTCATTGATGAACATGAGATTGAAAGTGATCAAGTGTTCAGATCTCTTTGTACCTTTCACACCATAATTTCACTTCTCACATGATACTTTGCCTATATATATATATATATATATATATATATATATATATATATATGACGATAATTAAATGAGAACCACAAAAAAAAGTTACAAATTTATGAGAATCGATATAAAAATATTTTTCTACATTATTTTTTTAATCAAAAGCTATGATTTAACATATTGTTTCACATATTTTTGTGTTTATCTTAAAAAAAATTGCATGTGAATTTTTTTGATTCATTTAGTGCAGAGAAAAATACACATAAAAAATATTAATATGGTGAAACATATACATGTGAAACTCTACATTATAAAACAATTATATTTAAAACAATATCTTAAATCCTACCATTTGATGGACAATCAATGTAAAAAAATATTTTTGAATCACTTCTCACGGGGTTCGTAACCTTTTGTGGTTCTCATTTGCTTTAGCCCACATATATACATATACATACATAAACTTGAGATCATGTGAGACCAAGGTTTTCGTGAAACCCGTAAGACCAATTCTCAACTCTTGGATTAGCTCATTAGTTTATAAAGTTAATCAATGAGCATAAATTGGTCTTACGGGTCTCATGAAAAACATTTGGTCTCATGTGAACCCAACCCTACATACATATATATAAGCTAATGATCTACAGTTGCACGGTGGTAATTTTGTGATTATTGAGAAGTTTCGTGGCAATTTTGTGATTATGAATGTTYAGATTGTAGATCTAATCCAAGGTTGAGAATTGGTATTACGGGTATCACGAAAAACCCTTGGTCTTACATAATCTTAAGTCTTTCTCTCTCTTTTTCTCTCTCTCTCTCTCTCTCTCTCTCTCTCTCTATATATATATATATATATATATATTACAAATCAAATGCAATCCTTGTTTAGTGGACGGTTTCATTGATTTTTTTAATTTAGAAAATTATCATCGTACGAATATGTCTTTCATATGCAACACATGTTTCATTCAAATAACATTGCATAGTCGTTTTGTATGTTTCGTATGAATCATGAAATTCATATCACATGAATCCTAATTTCTTTCGATTTTGCACCACATAAATCCTAATTCCTTACTACATGAATCTAAATTTCATACAACCTAACTTGCATCAGTCATAAATGTAATACCCATATTTTTACCATGAGAAATGTTACGTAATCTAAAACAGATTCTTCAAAAGCACTCCAAAAATAATGGTTAAATTAAAACTTAGGACCGTTTACAGCGGAAGACTTTAAAARAATAGATWTATAACTTAATGTCAGYCYGTCCCATACCGGGTTRCTTTACAATTTTATATATCATAGACGATTGCACCTAAATATTGTTGAACTTAAATGGACTAGACAAGTCTCTATGTATGCCCTTCTTCTTTTGTTTTTCTTTGTCCAACCTGAAACCTTCTGTCCCTGAGATGCACACTATAGTCAGCTTATAAAGCTCAGTGAGTTCATGGTTTGCGTGAATAAAGATCATTGCACATGATACATTTCAACTTGTAAACTTTGTACCAA